CTATTTATAAAGGAAATTGTTTCAGGGTTCACCTGCAAAAAATAAATCTCAATGCAACTACCCTGGTTAAATAACGGGAAGGAAATGATGTCATATATATAAAATCTGCTTGGTCAAAAAAAAATTAGCTTGACTACATACAACTGATTGTTTACAAACTACTATGTACTAAAAAAGTAATAGCTACTGCCCAACACTGATCGAAGCTATGTGTAGTTTATAAGTAAATGTTCACACGCTAATTAAATTTATAGGCACTAATTCATTAGATTTGTTTGTGGTTCCAATCTCAGTTAAACCTGTTACTTTGATAAATAGTAGTTAATTGAATCCACTAAGCTGCTGACTACTAGCTAATGTTACCATCACTGATTGGTCACACTTCAATCCTCCACACCACCACCCAAGTCAAAAAGGGACAAACCTCATTCATTTTTTTTCAGTAGCCAGTCAGGGGTGTGGTGGATCCAGGCGTGAGGTGGGAATACACTCTGTATGGGATACCAGTCCAGAGCTGCATGTACACAACTATTCACACGCTCATTTAACCTTAGGTACAATTTAGAGTAAGTTCTGGGAGTTACGAGGAAAATGGTGGACCCCAAGGACAACCCACACAGGCACTGGGAAGAAACCTACACAGACATTAATCCAAGCTCAGGATCAAACCAGAAAGACAAAACTGAAGTGCTAATATAAAAGAGAGATGAAAGTGAAAAATAGTATTGAAAAAAACATTGCCAAATAACTGTTGCAAAATCAGTCCAGTGACCAGTCAGACTCAGTATCTTAAAATCCCAATCATGTCAGAAAGGAGCTTTTAATTCCAAGATCCAGATGTTGAATACCAGATGTTGACTGGTCTCAGATGAAGGGGTTGTGCAATGTTCTTTCTCAGAATGGTGAACTGCAGCAAGGAGTAGTTGTAAAACTACGATAGAATAATCTTTATTTACATGTAACTTTGGTTCTTTGAACCCTTAATAACCGCCAGGGGCAGTGAGAATTACCAGGATACCTTCTTGTATGCATGCCAAGACCTTCCAACAAAGTCAAGAAGTAACATATGACGCAGTACTTGCAATAAATACTTTCCCTGGAACCTTCTCGCCAAGCTCTTGCTGTGTCGGCGTTGGTTCCAAATGACATCTGGGGTTATCTGACGTCCATAGAACCACATTTACATATGTAACCAGAGTACAATTTCACACTTTCTACTTGACAGGGGTGGTGAGAATCACCTGGGTAATGTACACCACAGCGTCATTAGGAACCAAACTACCACAGGAAATGTGTTTGGAGCTGACCGCTGCACTAACACCACTAAGAGCAGTGATGTTAACTTTGAAGAACATAGAGATGACACACAATGATGTCAAGGTACAGAAATGCAAACATCCTGGAATGGCAAGCCTCTAAGTATGTCACGGCTGGGCATCCTGCCCACTTATAGGCCATGGTGACGATGTCTACCACTCAGTGGGCCAGGCTCTGTTTAAACAAGGGAGCCCCTCGTGTCTTCCCTCCATGACAGACGAACAGCTGGTCTAAGGATCGGATTGCTGCCATTCAGTCTAAGTAGCAAGGTAGTGTGCACTATGGCAAACTGACACTGCAAAGTCAATCAACTGGTTTACAAAATTGTGATGAATGGCCTTGGGCAGAACCCCCAAGTTTAAAGGTCATACCACATTCACCTAGCTACTAACGCATGCAAGACAACCTGTATATTGGAGTGTTTGTTCCAATGCTATCAGGTGAACAACTAACTTATTGCCATTGCATGCCATACCCAATAAAATATCATAAGCATTCAATGCTCTGGAAGTGCACATTTGGGTGTAGAGCTTTTTTCTGTTGAGACCACCAGAGACACAATGCAGATATCAACAGTAGGCATGTGGCTCAGGTTAATCTGCTCGGGGTCTGTCAAACTAGCCCAGGTGTTGTTGAGTTGCCATTCTAAAAGCTATCAATAAAATCCTTGCATGATGGCATAGTGAATTTCATTGTGTTCAGTACCACCAGTATCACTATCCAATCGCACTTGAGCAAACTCTCAATTTGAGGGTGACTGTCAACAGCACATGCAAGCTTTCGATGGCTAATTCAGACTCATTTTTACCCCCCATCCCAGAATTTGCCCCAGTGGTGATATCCACACAAACATTCTGATTTGGTCTATAGTTGTAGAATTACTTTTTAGATATGACTAAATATTTTTGGAATATTCAAATATTCAACAATGTGAGTACATCAAACATTTTCCAATTTAAGAACCTTATAGTGTGTCAGAGCCTTATAATCTCAGTGGCCAGTATAATTATAGGCTGTAACTCTCAACAGCCAGTATTTGATGTATCTGAAAAATTTACCAAATGTGTAATAATAATAATAACAACATAGCCCATTATGTTAACAGATACTGCAGCTGTTTAAAATATGTCCAGCTAAAAACTATTTTTACTTTTACTACTCTTTGGTACATTTTACTTAACATGTTTTATGTTATATAATGTTTTCAGGAGAATAATATGTTTTGTGCCATAAATGTGCAGTTTTTTTTGTTTGTTTGTTTGTTTTGAGGTTGGGCTATTCAAATACTATTCAAATAATGCCCTGAAATTTTGTGGTATCACTTCCTTACCACCCAGGTGCTTAGATTGGATAAAGACATCTACCAGAGTAATAAATGTAAATGTACACATAATGACTTACTAAATTGATTCCATGAAGACCAGAAGACCCATCTACACATTACACTTCTAAGAGTACAAGATGCTTCCTGTGCTATGCAATTATTGTAATTTTCCAATTATCATATAATTCTTGAAGACAGAAACACTTTTACATGTTCATACATAGCAGAATGGGTGTACAGTTTGTCGGAACAATTAGAGCCTCAACCAGAGTGGAGGACAGGAACAAAAAACAAGCAATCACGGAATCAGAAAAGCGACAGGTTTTGAGAGAAAAAAAAAGGGGCAGGTGCATGAATCAGGAAGCTGCCATGGTGCGCGCACACACACTGCTCCAAGAAAGAAAAAAACGCAGTAACAGCTTTTGTGACAAGGCTATAGGCAATGTTGTTCGGAATTAAAGTTAAAGGCAGTGTGATGCCTGATTGGAGAGGACAGTCTCGAATCCTAGCTAGAGGGCCAGGAACAGTGATGGCCTGGCGACAGGCCTCTGTTTTAGAGTGAGAGAGAGAGGCGAAGCACTGCCATCATTCATCAGCAGGAGCAGTGCTACAGGCTGACTCCCACCACATGAGAGCCATTTGGCCCTTGTCTCTCACATCACATCACAACGACAGAGTAGATAAAAAAAAAAAATACCACACACACACACAAGCCAAGCTGCCTCAAGTAAACACATAAGCACACAAAGAAAGAACCAGTCTGATATGACAAAGGCAGAGAAAGTAGAAAGAAGCCCTGAGAACTGGACTCAAGTAGATGAGTGAAAAAATGAAGAGTGAAAGCTGGTTGCAAATCCAGAAAAAAGGAGTGAGGTTATTGTATTGCCGCTCCTGGAAATTAGTGTCCTTCTTCTACTACTGAGGATGATAATTACACAAAGCTCTGACACTGCCCTGTATGGAGGATGAGAATCATTCAAACTCACCACAGAGCACAGGGGATCCAATGAAGCAACATTCAATCTGTAAAATCACCTTGTTGCCGCTTCACAATTACAAGTTAAGTCCTCCACTAAGTCCTCCTCTTAGTGTTGCCCATGAGGTATCCATTTCACTTCCTTTACCCAAGGGGCTACTCTGGTTTTAGACAGCTGGCCGTACCATCCAAAAGATGCTTGAGAGCCCTTTACACAGGGCTGGTCTGGCCACATACTCATGCAAGAGTAAATAGATTGATATTAATATGCTGCAATGCCAATACACTTGGCAAGAATCCTGGGTCTAGCCACAGTTGATATGTATTTCATTCTCAAAGTAAACACTGCTTGATCACCAATAATGCATGTAATTTATTAACTCATCTCCTCCTTTGTTGGTTCAGTTGACATGTTAAGCACAAACTGCTTAACAAAAATCGAGATTTACTGGACCATTGCTATGTACCCTGTGAGAAAAGTTCTGACTAGTTTGTGTGCTCACAGTGATCAAGTGCCAACCACAAGCCTCATTGTGGACATATTAGTCCCAGGGGCAAGAACCATATTTTCAAGATGTGTGGACTGCTGTGCCACAGTGACCTCTTAATCTGGGACTACAGGTCCTGTCTGATGGGAGCCACCACTGGGCCATCAACAGACTGGTTGCATAGTCTGTTTAATAATCTGATACGTGCTGTGTCGTCAACATCTGTGGTACTGACACTATCTTATTTGCCTAATGCTTTTATCTAAAGTGACTTGCAAATGAGATCAACTGAGCAGTTGAGGGTTAAGGGTTTTGCTCAAGAACCCAACAGTGTCAGCTTGGTGGTGCTGGAATTTAAACTCACAACCTTCTGACCTGTAGCCCAAAGCCTTACCACTCTGCCAACATGCCCCACGCCTAGATTTTGTGCCAATGTATCTTGACAATGCATGCTAAAGTCTAAGGGTACTAACAAGGGTACCTACACGATGTTACACTGACACAAATGCCCAATGACCTTTGCTCCGATTGTAATATATTAGCAGCTCTACCAACCTTTATTCATTTTGCATAGGAGATCCGTGACTTAATATCGGAGTACGCTAGTATGAGTTTTCACTCAGAAACATGCCGTAAGAGCCAAAAGCCAAGTCTTTCTCTCCCCAGTGAAATGAGAGATGAGCCAATTAATCTAGAATGACTGACTGTTTTGAACTCTCTGATAATTAACCAACACTGGCTAGAAGCCCCAAAGAATCTCATATGTTCTCGACTGGACTTTCAATTTCTGTCAAGGTAAATGGAGATTATTATTAGTTCATCAATATGAAAATGGATAAATTGTATGTTCGAGTTGACTTGCATTAGACAAGTATATAGTTAACGTGCTTCGGGTGCCCGGCTAGCTGATTTGGTAGAGCATGGGACTCTTGATCTCACGATCATGGGTTTGAGCCCCATGCTAGGTGCCAACCCCAGCAACTAGAGGTGCACATGCTAGAGCACTCTCAGTGCCAGTCCCAAGCCTGGATAAATGGGGAGGGTTGCATCAGGAAGGGCATCCAGCGTAAAACCTGTGCCAAAACAATATGCGGACAATGGGAGCAGCCGAAAGAGCAACGATAACGTAGTTAATGTGCTTTGAGCAGCAGCAGATCAAAAGTGAAAATATCGGCCATGTGGACATTAGACAACTGATTTGTAAAAATATTTTCCTGAAAATGTGCTGTAATGTTTTTTCACTGTTTACTGTCTTATACTATATTGCAGATCACCTTAAAAACCTCCATCCAGCTAAGTTTCTGCGATTGCCACTGCCAGCAAGCAGTTCCTGACTGCACTGCTGTTAATATCATTATGCCCTGCCCTACTCTCCTTAAACCTGGAATGGTGGAAATGCTCATTTTCCTGTGTTTTTTGGGGAATTTTATTTGTTTTTTTATTATATGGTGGTTAGCCTAGCTAAAGGCACATTGTATAGATAATTGTATTAATCTTTTTTGACTCAAAAATTACACATTTATTTTGCATAAATCTTTACTGTTTCAGTTTTTAAAGCATTACAACATTTTTGAGGTAATTCAGTGAACAGTGAACAGGACTAAACACCCAAGGACTTCTACTACATGTTTGATATACCATCAAAAAAACCACTATCAATTCTGATGTGTACAGTCATGCTGACCCAATGCCTCAAACCTGCAAGGGGTCATCAACAAAACAACTTCAGCTGATAAAGTAGTTGGAAAGATTGCGACAGGGGACATAGAAAAGGGAAGTTGTCATGGGTGTGTGCAAAACACTAGTGGAATGAAGTCCAGCTCATGATAAAGATTAATCATGGTCGTGTGATTTAGGAGACTTACAGTATATGATGCCATGGCTGTAACGTTCAAACTTAACTGAGAACACAAGCCTGTTGCATCAACACTGACTTAGCAAAGATCTACAAGTAATGCAAGACAAAGGCAAAATCCAAGAGCCAACAACAACACCACCACCCATAAACACACACACACACACACACACGATCATGAAAACTCTCACTACATTATAAGAAGTAATAACAGCATTTAAGGACAATGTATCAATGCCGAAACACCACAAAAGCTCACTGGCCAGAAAAAAAAAAAAAAAACCTGACAGGATATAAATTACCTCCTCATTACGATTTCAAATTGTGCTGCGTATTCTTTCTTTTGTGTTTCTTTGTGCCATATCAGGTGACACTTCCTTTTTTTTCCGTTAAACAGAGATTAGTTGAAATTGGCCGATGGAGGCTCTTTTCAAAGCAAACTGAGACGGGAGGAGGGATTCTTATTGTCCATTACCTGCTGTTATGTCTTTGAACAGACGAGATGGAAAAAAATATGAAACAAAATCGAATATGGCTGAGATGCTGAGGTTTCAGCAGGGGTTCAGCTTGTTATGTTTCTTCCAAGACATGAAAGAGAGGTGTGATGAGATGGGGTGACGGCGCACAACAAGCTAAATAACCCTACTAAGGGGTTCAAAATGAGCTCACATAAAATAAAGCATGTGGGTAATGGCGGAGATGACAGACTGTGTTACTATGTACACAATATCAAGACTATGTCAACACAAAGCAAAGTCGCTGCGCCTAGTGAAACAACATCATGGAGTTAAACCTTACCAATTTGCATTTTCACAATTAGAACTTTAGAACAAAGCGTGTATTTATAATTCATAACTCTGCTTAAAATACCTTCCAGTGGAAGCATTTTATATAAACGCTATTATACCACAGAGCTGTTGAATTTCCAAATCTGATTAACTGGCAGCTGTAATTTAAACCACAGGTTCATATTAATGCGGTCCTTCTAGTACATAATCTAAGCCTAATAAAACTGATTACAAAATTTGTTTGTTAACACAGAAAAATGTATAATCATGGATATGGTGGAAGGAGACATTTATTGAGCATTTATGGAAGGAGTCTCCAGTGTCAGCGCTTTGTAACAATCAGAGGTAACATTGTTCCAACATGGCAAAGTCTTCAAGACTGAGGACATTCGAAGTAACAAGCTTTATTTCTTCTGCCTTATTAACTTCAGAGAAAATGACTGTTTATAGCTGCTATAATGTAAGTGATAACAAGGACTACCTTGTTTCATGGACATTCTTCATCATTAAATACAACTATAGACGGTTTAAAAAAAAGGATGACGTGTCATTATTTAATGAATACAAAATTGTAATCATTGGTGAACTGTGATGGTTTAAGAGGAATAAAACACGTTGGGATGTGCCGTTCTTGGAAAATAATCAACTTCAGGGTGGTAAAAGTAACTCCCTTTACTTATTGACTTCTGAAGTGTTACATTTTTAATGTAGAAACTGCAATTTTCCTATGGTATTTTTTTAATTAAAACTGCAATATGTATGTGTAATGTACACAAATTTTGAAAAATTTGGTCTAATGTGTTTTTTTCAATGTATATACTTTTGAGAAATAAAGCTTATAGCACTTACAATTAATAATGAAGAAAAACTCAAAGATATCAAAAATGACTTTTCAAAAGATACTATAATTCTTAAGAAATATTTTATGGCCTCTAATAGGTATACAATACAATTTTACATAACAATTACACAGTACTCTACATGAATACATCATGTACACTGACACGTTAAAAAACTCTGCAAACCCTGAACAAAATGAAGAAGACCAAGTAATTTACTTTATACCTACCGTTTAGTGTTAGTGTCACTTTATTATCATAGAAACATCATCAAAATGATCGGATATTGTCTGTTAAGATATTAAGTTTAAAAGACAAAACATCATATCATCTTAAAGGTTTGTTGCCCTTTCTCAGTGTAATTTTAATATTCTCTAACAATGTGTCTGTCCAGCCACTGACTCTATAATTGCCTCCAACCTCTTTTCTATCTGAAAAGCTTAACTGAAAAGCTTTTTTTTCCTGACATGTTTGTCAGGAATTTGTTCTTCAGAGACCCTTTGCTCATTTCCCTTCATATATTTGTAACATGTATAATGCCATCCCATCTCATTACAATTTCTTAGCAGTAGAAATGAATTAGGAAAAGCTGGAAGTACCCGGTGAATATCTGATAACGGTTACAAGCTCACCGATCTGTTTGCGGTACTGGTCGACCGGTAACTTTGCAGTGCTCGCATCTTTCTTCGCCATTTTTCCCTGTAGAAAAAAATAAAAATGGAATATATGAGGTGGCATGAAGAGAACTGCAGAAGTGCTCTCCACATTTCAAAGTCTTTCAAACATCCAATCAATGTTGAGGTATATTTAGCAGAAATAAGTGCATTTACTTGACCCAATTCAGAAATGAGCAAAGCAAGCTAACAAGGGAAGCATTTTAAAACATCTCACATGAAAAAAAAAAAAATCAATGATGAGAAAGCTAAGCAAAGTGATCATAAGCAAATCTCTCTTTGGACTACACTGCAACTGAATAACCTTGAATTTCACAAGTGTATTCATGTGTTTTAAAAGCAGGACGTTAAGTAAGGAAAGCAGTCACTCGTACATTTTTACACATCAACATTATCTTCCTTGTTTACGTCATTGTCTTTAATCTTTAATTTAATTTGCTATCTCACTTCATAGCATAAATGTTCCATACCTTTATTGTATTGTAATAGTAATTGAAGTTGAAGTGCCTTTATCAAGGATCCAACAATGGCTTTCCTGAAATCCTGGGACTTGGACTCACAAAGTTCTGCTTATTAGCACTGAATCACATCCACTGAACTACCATTAGCCCTGATGCTTGGTATAAAGAACCAAATCTTTATTTCCAGGTAGTCTGCATTAGACAGCCTGCTTGAGTGCTATCCTGAAAGACTCCCAGGTATTTTTAGCCTTCAGTTTACACCACACAGCGCTCTGATTTATTCCCATAGCAACTGAGGAGAGGACGAAATAGCCTTCCATGCTTATTTACCTTGGTGTGGTTGGATTTTTAATTAGGCTATAGATGGGTTAAGCACATACGAACATTCTGTAGAGCCTTTTATAACACAGCGCTGTTGAATTCACGAAACTGATTGGTCCGAACGTCTTGATTAATTTTCTGTAACAGCACGGCTCTGACAATAGTGTTGCCCGTGAGTGCAAAATAATGCATCGTTCTAATACATTATAATTTGTAAAGCAACATCTCATTAACCGGGATGTATGGCAGTTGTATGGCAGATGATATTAATTGTAGAGTAATAATAAATAGATTTTAAAAACATGTTATATGACAAAGAAAACGTATCATCGTTGATGGGGTGAAGCGTTGTGTGGGGAATTTATGTAACATTTATGGAAGGAGTCTCCAATGTCAGTGTTTTGTAACAAGGGAGTCTTCCCTCATAAGGAAGTGTTCAGGAGAGAGGATGTTGTACTTCGCAGTGTCTCAGTAACATGACAAGTGCATTTTCTTTATCTCATTAACAGCAAGAGAGAGAAAAAAAAAGAGAGACTGGTCAGGAAACAGCAGTTTATAGCTGTTATGTCGTAACTGATAACAGTAACTTTCTTGTTTCATGGACTTCCTACAAAAAGTAATTGAACTATAAACATAAAATGTATAAAACATAAGATGTGCTGTCTTTAATAAATAAAAAAATTGGAATCATTAGTAAATTTCTGTGGTATAAGAGGAATAAAACACATTATGAAACTAGAGGAGAATAATGACTTCAGGGAGGGTGTCAAGCACGTCTTGTTATGTTTTATTCCTTATTCCTTATTATTGCTAAACCCTCTGACCAATTCTCAGAGAAATCAAGCAGCAGACCTGACTTTTGACTCATAAATCATAAATCAGAGAGCCCGATTTACTCAAGGGTGGCATGACTTCCTACATGCCATGCAGCTGAAGACATCTGGACATTAAGTGCTGAGTCATTGTATTTGGAGAAACGTAACCCTGGATTCATGGTCATACATCAGAATGAAGGGAAAGATCATCATTA